TAAACTCGATCAATGATGGTCGTGATGATAATACAGTTGGCAATGAAAAAAAAAACTCAGCCGGGCTAAAAAAAAAATCACCGGCAGAGGTCGCGTAGTTTTAAAATTCGAATGTTTTTTTTTCTCTCACAAAAAAAATTACAAACAACACTGAATTACAAAGAATTTATTGATTGATTTAATTTTAAATATTTTTTTTTTAATTTTTAAATTATTTATCTATATTGTTTAATATATGCAAATTAAAACATTTATTTGATTTTTGTTGTTGTTTCATGCCGATCAAATGAAAAGAGAGAGAGAGAGAGAAGGAAGTGATGAGAAAGAAAATATTACATAATTCATTTTGTTTTGTTTTTGTTTTTCTTGAAAATTTTTGTTTTGTTTTGACGGTGAGTTATTTTGGGTGATATAAAAAGATGATTTTTTTGTGTGTGTGTGTGTGTGTGAAATAAGAGAGAGAGAGAATCAATCAGAAAAACAAAACAATTCAGACATTCAATTTATATTTTATATATTTATAAATGTTCAAATGAAATCAAATATAATATAATAAATGGTGTATGGTATCAAATTTGCCCGAACACAAAAAAGGCAAAAAAGATTGGGGAAAAAGGAAGTAATCTGAGAAATTATGAGAGACAATTTTAGAAAAAAAAGAGAGTTTTTTCAAATTAATTTTTGTTATTTTTCTTGATGAAAAAAAAATGAAAACGAAACGAAACGAAACGAAAAAAAACAAACACACAAAATCTCCATAGGTTTAGATGAAAGTAAAGAAAGAGAATGATGCAAAAACTTTGAAAAATTTGGAATTTTTTTAAAACTAACAATTTTTTTGAAATGATCGTTAATTGTTATCATTTACATCATCATTTTTTTCTCTATATTTGAAAAATCATGAGTGGGTGGTGGGTGGTGTAGGGGATGTGCCAATGATGTATGTGTATTTTTATGTATAATATTTTTTTTTTAATAAAAAAAAGAATTCATGTGGATTCTGGTTCTTGTATTTTGTTTTAAATCAAGAATTTGTGTGTATGTATATAAAATGTATTCATCAAACATTTGAATTTGTATGTGTGTGAGTATACAAGAAAAAAAATATTGAAAAAAAGAAGAGAGAGAGAGTGAGATTTGTCTGGATTATGTTCGTTCGTTTGTTGTTGCTGTTGTTTTTTTCATTTTATTTGAATTATTTTAAGTAACAGTTGGTTGAGCAATATCACCAGAATTAGTGACTTGTAATGGACCACCAGTACTGCCGCCTCCACTAATAGCACCGGATACCGATGCATTTGATGTTGATGCAGCCGCTGATGCTGCATTCGATGATGAAATTCTTAAATCAATATGATAATTATTAGGTGCTTGCTCTTTGGAAACCGGATCTATAGATATGGAAATGGATAAATATAAAATAAAATTCATTATAAATT